CCTCTCCGAAGGGAAGGAAGGGGGTTAGCAAACAGACCTCCTTAAACAACCGCCGCCCAGAAGAGCTGGTGGGGTTCAAACACTTGTGCTGAGGAGTTCTAGGACGGCCCTTGAGCGTGTTCATCTCAGCGCCCCTCTCACGGGACTCCACTAACGGGTACTTTGGCCAGTGACCCTGCGAACCTAACCCTCCCCGATGTGGGCAACGCTGCAATGCCACAGAGAGGCCCCAAAGTCGCAACCTTAGGCAATTTTCTAAAGTGCCCGTTGGTGAGTACCCGTTACGGCGCCGCCAATCATCTGCACTTCAAGCGTCGCCGGAAAACATACTGGCAAACACCGTGCACGCCGAGGGCCCCACCCAGCGCCTGGCCCCACGCAGCAAGGCCCGACCGGCACCAGAGGCCAGGCGGCAGCTCATCGTGCGGATCGCTCGCAGCCAGGCCCGCCGTTTCCGCGGCCCCGCGCTCCCGGCCCCGCTTCTGTGCGCACGCGCAGGCGCGAGGGAAGAACGAGGGGCGACAGCGCGAAGAGCACAAGGAGCGAACGCTGAGGGAGGGACCAGAGCACAACAGCGAGAGAAAGGGCACGGCCCATGGCAGGCGCAAGAAGACAGATGCTGGTGCTTCATCGAGATGTGCCGCCTGAATGTGTCCCCTCCTCTTCGTCATGGACGCACTCACGTCGAAGCACGTGTGTACCACTAAACGTAAAGATGCGACAACCATGGCCTCGAGGCGAAGAGGTAGAGCATGATGACGATGAACAATAAGATGGGCATGTCAATTCAGAGAGGGGTGGTGATGATGAAAAAAGAAAAAGGCGCGGTGGCGGAATGTACGAGACAGGTTCAAAAGAACAAGCGTATTGAATAAAGATAACAAGATGAGGAACATGAAAGAGTCCGAAGGAGAGTACCATGGTCGTGACATTACAAGAAGCACATCAACACTATGCCTATCACAATACAAGTTATAACTCAGACCAAGTGTGGCTGCTACTGATGCCACCTCGGCGATCGCTGCATGTTCACGCAACCGTGCCGCTACTTCACTAGAACTACTGATACCACCACTACGATCCAACCCACTACTCACACTAATCTTGAGGCTATTGATGTTACCGTGTCGCATGTGCCTGCTCTTCCTGCCAAAGGTGCGACCGATAGCGCTACTAAGAGCAGTGTGTGTGATGCCGCATCTTCTTTTTCCATGGGTACTTCTACCATGGCTGACGCTACTACGAAGACTATGGTGATCACCACATGATTCAATATATTTCCAGGAGCAGCGCTTGCCCATTGGGAGGATATACTTGGGCAGTGAAGGGCTGCCTCGCGCTGCGGCGTTCCTCACTCGCAGCTCGAATCCATATGGACCCCAATGGGCGGCGTACATTCTCATCGCCACTTGTATTCCTGTGAGTTCTTGAAGGTGGCGCCGCTTCTGGTGGCTGCTTGGACTCATACGCACTCCTATGCGCCACGCGATTTCCAGTTGCCGCTTGATTCGTATGGATTCCGAAGGCGACTTACTGTTACTGCGACGACGACGCCGACGACTACTACTACTGCTACTACTACTACTACTGCTACTACTACTACTACTGCTACTACTACTACTACTACTACTACTACTACGACTACGACTACGACTACGACTACCACTACTACGACGACTACTACTACTACTACTAGTACTACTACTACTACTACTACTACTACTGCTACTACTACTATTATTACTACTACTACTACTACTACTACTACGACTACGACTACTACTGCTACTACTACTACTACTACTACTGCTACCACTACCACTACCACCACTACTACTACTACTACTACTACTACTACTACTACTACTACTACTACTAACTACTACTACGACTACTACGACGACTACTACTACTGCTACTGCTGCTACTACTACGACTACTACTACTACGGCGACTACTACTACTATACTACCTGCTACTACTACTACTACTACTACTACTACTACTACTACTACTACTACTACTACTACTACTACTACTACTACTACGACTGCTACTACTACTACTACTACTACGACTGCTACTACTGATACTGATACTACTACTATTACTACTACTCCTCCTACTACTACAGCTACTGCTACTGCTACTGCTACTACTACGACTCCCTTTGCTACTACTACTACTACTACTACTACTACTACTACTACTACTACTACTACTACTCTTATTGCTACTACCATTACGACTGCTACGACTGCTACGGCGACTACTGTGACTACTACGGCTACTACTACTCCTACCACTACTACCACTACTGCTGCTGAAACTACTGCTACTTCGTATCCGAAAATACTCCATACAACAAGTTCCGCAATCACCGGGCTCCACGCACACAGGGTACCATGCACAAAGGGTCCCGCCCATAGGAGTACCCCCTGTGGTTTCCACACGCGCGCACAAGCACACACAGACACACACGCACACACACACCCACACACACACACACGCACACGCACACACGCACACACACACACACACGCACGCGCACGCGCACACGCACACGCACACGCACACGCACACGCACACGCGCACACGCACACACGCACACACGCACACACGCACACACGCACACACGCACACAGGCACACAGGCACACAGGCACAAAGGCACACACACACCCACACACACACACCCACACACACACACGACCACACACACACACACCCACACACACCCACACACACATCCACACACACACCCACACACACTGTCTCGATCCCGCCCGCCCATAGGATTACCCCCTGTGGTCTCCGCACGCACGCACATGCACACACAGACACACACACACACACGCACACCCACACACCCCCACACCCTCCCACCCACACCCCACACACACCCACACACACACACACTTTCTCTCCCGTGGGCGCGCGTGGCCCGAGGTCGATCCCAGGGGAGCCCGCACTTCCGCATGGACGCTCAAGATAGCGCTGGCGGTCCCTCGATGCACATCGAACCCCGAGAGGCCTGGTGGTGCAAGAAAACGGATCGTGTCCCAGGCTACCGCCTGCCGCCGCTCTGGATCCCAGACGTCGCCTGGGAGAACACAACGCACGTGCGTCAACCCGGCCCCCCAGCGACGGCAGCGCACGACTCGCCCTGTCCATCTACGTTTCCATACGCTCTACATGCCACCTCGCCTTCAGCGGGCTCACGCGCAGTCAGCAAACACTACCTCTCGTTCTTCCAATGCCGTAGTTTCTGATAGTACGATTCGATGGCCATGCCCGACTACATATTACTCATGGGCAATGCAGGGGGTCTAACCTGTCATGCCATTCATACAGCAGCCCACAGCGACCACGTTCATTGCAGCTCAAGCATGGGCGTGGGCGATGGTAGGTCGACGTGGACTCCCTGCTCTTCAGATATTTCTACGTCGATTGCTGTCAATCGCATTCCCCCTGGCCAGAAGTCAGGCATCAGTGGCCCCATGATCTGGACGGGCATCGCACATATCTTCATGGCCATGTGTATCCTTCGACTCCACCAAGCGCTGCAACAGTCGAAGTTCTTCAGATGGGCCGCGCGGGTTTTCATAATATTGTTTCTTTCACTGTTGGGGATCCCCTCTTGTTTTGTGCCGCACCGCTTCCACCAGGGTATTGTCGAGCGGGGCCTCGCGGGCCCACCAGCGGGGCGGCCGAGCCCCATTGAACTCACCGCCCCGTGTTGCCTCTCGCCAGCGCCGCCAGCACCGCGCGGCCGAGTTTTTCCCAGGGCGAGGCCAGGCCGAACGAGGCCTATGGTCCCAGGACTCATCCGCGGAACACCAGGGCCCCTCGCAGCGGCCGCCAGCGGCCACCAGGAAAACCTCGGGCGCACTGATGAGGCAAGACGAGGCCGAGAGGACCCAAGAGCTCTTCCCTCTGAAAGGGTGGCCCGAGGGTGGGAAACAAAAAGCATGCGGCGAGGCGGCGTCGCGGCGCATGCACAGGGGAGAGGGGCCCCACAGGACGAAACAATCAACATGTAATACATGGGTTTCTGTTTCTTTCACTGTTGGGGGTCCCCTCTTGTTTTGTGCCGCGCCGCTTCCACCAGGGCATTGTCGAGCGGGGCCTCGCGGGCCCAGCAGCGGGGCGGCTGAGCCCCATTGAACTCGCCGCCCCGTGTTGCCTCTCGCCAGCGCCGCCAGCACCGCGCGGCCGAGTTTTTCCCAGGGCGAGGCCAGGCCGAACGAGGCCCATGGTCCCAGGGCTCCTCCGCGGAACACCAGGGCCCCTCGAAGCGGCCGCCAGCGGCCGCCAGGAAAACCTCGGGCGCACTGATGAGGCAAGACGAGGCCGAGAGGACCCAAGAGCTCTTCCACGTCTCCCTTCCTGGTTCACCGCCTTGAAATCACCGCAGGGGGGGGGGGGGGGGGGGGGGCACATTGTAGGCCAGCAGGCTTCCAAGAAAACCCTACCGATCGAGGGTCGACTGCGGAACGCGCAGGTCCGAGAGAGCCTGCTGGCCTTCTGTAAGAGATATGCGAGCCGCCGCCGTGTCCTGCCAAGGCTTCTCTCTAGAGTGGCAGGCATGTTACGGGTGCGGCAAAAGAACGATGTGGCCCCCTCTTGTTAAACTGTATGGCTTGATTTGAAACTGCTGGCAATTGATGGCAGCACACAGCTGCTCGAACACACGTCTGAAATCTTCAATCGAAGAGACAGGGTCAGCTGGTCTGACGAATTATGTTGCAACAAGATGATAGCAGCTGTGTCACCGAGGTAACCTCAATCACGATCGACTCCTGTCGATGAAGCCGCAGCCCACTTTTTGCGATTTGCAACGCTACAACGAGTCTGGCGTGAGCCTCGTCGATGGCAACCTGCCAGCGTCTTAAGGTCAGCGTTTCGGTGGTCTGCGAGAAGGCCGCAAACCCGAGTGCCAGCAGTGCCGCGCATCCAGCGCGCCACAATGACTGGTCGCCGGGGCCGCAGGGAAACGACCTGGTCTGTGCTGACGGTGGCGACGGCGACGGTGGCACCACCTCCAGTCTCACGCATCTGCCTGACGGAGGGGATCTTGGACAGATAGCCTGCTGCAGTCGCCGTCCTGAAAAAGGGGCGCGTAGCGGTAGATGAACTCGCGCCAACGTTCGAGTTCATGACCTGCACATCTGTCGAGTCCTGCGGGGAACTGACCTGGAGTACGACGAAAAACACGTCGCAGAAAAGTGGACAGGCGGCAGTCCCTCTGGAGGTCATCCTGCCACTGAAGCTCACGGCCAGCCAATGTTCAACTGGTCCAGGCTCATCAGGGAGTACGACGTGCTTCACCGTGTCCATGAAGTACGTCCCGCCCTGCTGCGACGTCAACAGCTCCTCCTTCATCCACCACAGACGGCCACGCTGACAGCGTGTGACATCACCTGCTGAGATAAGCACAGGTTCGCATCCCAAGGATTGTGACAACAACTGTCGCGGTATCGAATCCATCGAGGCCACGTTCTCAGCCTAGGAGAAGATCGTGCAGAAGTCACCCAGCGTCTCGCGTAGCAAGGACACATTGCGGTCTAACTCGTAAAACAGCGTGAACGCTTCCCTTGAAGACCAGCACACTTGACATTGATGCGGGCCAGGTCGCTGCAAGGGCTATTGGCCACCACAAATATCCACCTCACACACGGAACTCATTCACGGATGGCCACCCCCTCGGCGACCCCAAAGGATCAGACCTCGCCGATTCCAGTACGTCGGGCCACGCATACTTGGTCACCCGCTTCGCCTCGGTGTCGATCTCGGCGGATAAGAACAGCGCGGGAGTGAGCCCTAGAAGGTCCAGGGCGCGGCGAGCCCCACCGATGCCGTCGAGCAAGGACAGGAGCACCACCTCGTCGCGGAAGTCAGTCACCAGCCTTCTGCTGGCCGCTCTCGCAGCGGTCACTCCATCATGTCGAAGGCGAACAGCTCGACACACGGCGCCATGCTGCCTACTGGCATCCGAGACCGTCACCAACCCGCTGATTGGCACCCGCAGGTCGCAGCGAAGCGAATGGAGCAACGTCAAGGCCGACACCAGCTCCTCGCGCACTCCACGTGGCAGCTTCGCATCGCCACGCATCGTCACCAAGAGTCGCCACAGGTGAGTGACGCACATCATCGCCTCGCGCCTCAACAAAAGGCACCGAGCCCAGCGGCCTGCCAGGATCTGCATCCACTTCTGAGTCACTGTGGGCCGTTGCAAGGTGGCCAGGGTGAGGGAGATCAGCCGTCTCACGAATTCTGCGGGCGCCCGATGGTGCCCCGATCCCCATCGATCGCCTCCCTGAGGGACTGCGTCGTTGTCTCGCGGATGACGGCCTGGTTCTCACTCCTCGGCACGCTGAAATACTCATACCTCCGACGGGCTAAATCGACCGCCTCGCTGATTCCCGTCTCCTGAAGGGCCTTGGCGCGCCACCAGTTGATGATCTCCAGCACTTCCAAGTCAAAGATGTACACCTGCCAGGCCCTCCAGGGGGACGGCGCGTTGAAGCGCTCCAACCACTTCGCGATCAGGACATCGTTGAAGCGTTCCTTGCAGTGACAACACAGCCGAGCGCCGCTCAGTGAAGACAAATCGGCCAGGAGGTCGGGCGACTTCTCCAGGTGCTCTGCGAGCAGCTCGAAGGCCTGGTTCTGGTCCCGACCGCCCCGAATGCGGAACGAGTTGCCCCACTTTGACGGAGCTAGCTGCAGTGAGCTGGAGCCGCGCCCGACATAGATCATCCACCCGTCGTCACCGCAAGTGTGCTCGACCTCATCGCGGACGGGAGCCACTCCTGCACTGCTCAAACCACCTCTGCGAGCAGAAAAATACGAGCGGCCTTGCGCAACTCCTCCGACGCTGGAAGTTGCCGTAGCTCACGATGTCGAGCTCGCCGAAGACGACACTCATCCTTTTCCTCCTCCTCCTCCTCCTTCCCCGGCGCTGTCGGCGCTCGCCGTCGCACGCCCACCGCGGCTCAGAATCCTCCCTCGATCGCCGGCCGCCCGAGATGGACGACGCCGCGCAGTGGGCGTCGCCCACGCGCGGCAAGAAAGCGACATGGTCCCACGCAGACGTGGAGGAGCTGGGTGGCAGGCCCGGGCGATGAGGAGGATGACGAGGGGGACGAGGAGAGGAGAAGAGGACGAGGAGGGGGAGGATTAGGAGGGGGAGGAGGAGGAGGAGGAGGAGGAGGAGGAGGAGGAGGAGGAGGCGGAGGAGGAGGAACAGGAGGAACAGGAGGAGGAACAGGAGGAGGAGCAGGAGGAGGAACAGGAGGAGGAACAGGAGGAGGCAAACACGATGAGGAGGAAAGGGATGAGGAGAGGAGGAGGTGGCGGAAGAGGAGGAGGGAGGAGGAGGAGGAGGAGGAGGAGGAGGAGGAGGATGAGAAAGAGGAGGAGGAGGAGGAGGAGGAGGACGCGGATCACGGGCCCGAGAGGCTGTGGAACGCCCTGCCCGATCGTGTGAAGCTCTTCATCGCCTCCGACGATTACCCTGGCGCCCCGCTCACTGCCCTCGCCGACCCGGGCTGGAAGATTCAGATGCAGGAGCCCTGCAGTCAGAATAATCCTGTTGCACTCGTTTGTATCATTCCTCCCTCGCCTTAGCCCCCATTCATCTTCTCCATTATCGTGCTCGTCGCCCCTCGCATCCCCAACCGCCCCTCACCCACATGAGGGGGGGACGTGGGCAGACCTCCATCTCGAGATCGAGCCATCGCTCCGATCAGATCGATCGTTCCGATCGGAGCGATCGGAACGATCGATCTGATCGGAGCGATGGCTCGATCTTGAGGTCCCATCGGACCGATCGATCCGAACAGTCGATCGGGTCGCCACGCAGGACCTGACCGCGAACGCGCGCATGATCCTCCCCGTCGTCCAGCTCGTGCCAGACAAAGTGCCATCGGGATTTTTCATAGCGGATGCCGTGCTCAGCATGCACGAGAAGAGTAACAACAGGCCAAGGGTCCGAGGAATATTGGCCATAGCTGATCGCCTCTTCGTGCGAGGAATAAGCGCTTCCTCGAACGAGAAGGCAATCAGTCATGGCCAATATGCCTCGCGACGACTTCGATCCCAGGCTGCTGAAGCCGACTGACCCAAAAATTGATATCAGACAGCTTGCATTGGCAGAGGGGGGCAAGCTCAAAAAGTTGGTCCAGAAACTTAGATACCTGTGCCGCGGCGGCCGTTCAGAGTCCAACAATCGGGTGATCCCTCGGGTAAGCGCCCTAACCCCTCCCCATGGCCCACTCGTCCACGTACGCTCTCCTCAAGGGAGGGGCAAGTGGGGGGATGCAGCGAAGTCGATGGGAGAGATCACGTCCCCTTCGACCTCGACGCAACTCCCGACTAGACGAGGCGGAGGGTTCGCATTGTTGGCCACTCCTGCTCCTGGGGCTTCTTCCCCTCCTCCTTCTACCCTTCCCTCGACCTCCACCCTCCACCCAAGCCTTCCCTCCTCATCCTCTTCCTCCTCCGCGAGCTCCTCCTCCTCCTCTCCACCTCCTCATCCTCCTCTCCCTCTCCTCATCCCCCCCTCCTCCTCCTCCTCCTGGGGTGACGGGGAATGGGGGGCATAACCTTGCCCCCCCTCGCAGATGTTTCAGGTGATCCAGAAGCTGAAGGACTGCATACAGCAGAGCGAGCGCCAACAGCACCTCGCGAGCCTGCGCGAGCACGACGACGATGGAGGCAGCGATGATGCGCTCATGGAGCCTCAAGGGTGGATCGCATCAGCCACCGCCAGCCCTTCGCGGTATAATTTGCGCCCAGCGCCAATCTTGGCGCCATGCCAAGGGTGCAAATTGTCCGTGGAGGTTCGGCGACGGCTGATCCAACCCTGCCCCTGAAAGGAGGACGAGGATGGCGAGATCGACGAGATCGAGGACGGCGAGGAGGAAGCGGTCGAGCCGTACGAGATGGACGCGGGCTTCGTGTCGACCATCGTCGAGGTCAGCGAGGAGGAGAAGGAGCACGACGCGAAGTCCCCGACCAAGGTTGCGCTGGAGGACGCGGCGGCCAGCGAGTCCGCGGAGGAGATCGACGACGACGACTAGCCAGCCGGGGAGCAGATCTTCGAGGAGCCCGAGCACCTGGAGGAGCCGGCCGGGGAGCAGATCTTCGAGGAGCCCGAGCACTTGGAGGAGCCCGAGCACTTGGAGGAGCCCGAGCACTTGGACGAGCCCGAGCACGACGAGGGGGAGCAGATCTTCGAGGAGCCCGAGCACGAGGGGCCGGAGGCCTTGGGGGAGATAAGCTTCCAGGGGCCTATGGCGAGCTTGGCAAGCGCAGACTCGGTCGCCGAGGAGGCCGCCAGGGCAGGGGAGGTAGGAGGATTCCGAGATGGGAGGAGGGAGAAGGCGAACAGGAAGGATGAGAAAGGATGAGGAGGAGGAGGAGGAGAAGGAGGAGGACGAGGAGGAGGAGGAGGAGGAGGAGGAGGAAGAGGAGGAGGAGGGGGGAGGATAATGTGGAGGGGGAGGAAGAGGAGGAGGAGGAGGAGGAGGAGGAGGAGGAGGAGGAGGAAGAGGAGGAGGATGAGGAGGAGGAGGAGGCTGGAATGACAACGACCCCCCAGGACGACGACGAGCCCGTCTTCGGTCAATACAACAAGGACATGACAAAAAACGCGATGATGACACCCCCGCCAGCCATTCCGTCGTGCATCGACGAGGCGACTAGGGTGAGAACATGCGGAGAGAAGGAGGTGGAAGAAGGATGAGGAATCAAGAGGGCATGATAGCAACCGTCAGGGCGCGTCTCGATCTAAGCTCCGACCGCTTGGTGAGACGCCGACCTTCGAGACGATAATGCGATGAGGTGGGTGGCGGAGGGGGGAGGCAGGAGGAGGGGGAGCGATCTCCAGGCAGATGGCTTCAGCGATGCCACCACATTGAACTTGGAGGGGCCTGGTGCCAGCGGCGACGAGGCGAGCAGGGACAAGGGGATGAAGATCTGGGGGGAAGGATGACGAGGGGACGAGGGAAGAAAAGAAAGAGGAAAGAGAAAGGAAAAGGGAGAGCGGAGGAGGAGGAGGAGGAGGAGGAGGAGGAGGAGGAGGAGGAGGAGGATAGGGGGGAGGACGATGACGGGCCCACGCCCCCACCCTAGAGGTTGCGGCAGAGATGAGCCGAGCTGCCCCCGCGCCCGTGGACCCCATCAAGCAGAGCGCCATGTCAGCCGTGCAGCGCCAGAAGGGCAAGGGCAAGGGCAAGGGCAAGGGGGCAGGCCTCCTCCTTTCGTTCGCCCCCCCGCGCCCTTTACGGTCGGCCGACTCATCATACATTTCGCCACATGCGTGGCGAAGTGTATGATGAGTCGGCCGACCGTCCAATGGAAATCTTGTGTCCTTGGCTGGCCCTGGGGGACCCGTGGATGCGGTGCGAAAAAACTGCCCCTAAATCTATTTCGTGGCCGGGATCGCCTTCGGGGCCCAGAGGCAAGAAATCGAGCTCCTCTTCAGCAGCGGCCGCAGCGGAGGCGCCAGCTGAAATTGAGGAGCCTGAGGAGCCCGAGGAGCCCCTGGGGTCCGCTCCTTTCCCCCCAAACCTCGACCCCTCCTCTTCCTCCTGTTTTCGGGTGGAACGAAGGGGTGCATCAAGATAGTCCGATGCACTCTAGATCATTCCTTCCACGGCCTGGCCCCAGGAGCTCCCGCCTGATTTCCTGACGTATGTCGAGGAGCGGATCGAGCAGGGTATCCCGGTGGAGATCTTGCCGCAATCGACCATCAACGGCAAGAAGAGCTACACGATTTCATCCACAATGCGGTGCGCGCTTCCACCGAATCGGGAGGCCACCTCCTGATCTGACAGGCCCCCAATCCCACCCTCCAAACCTACTCCTATCCCACCCAACCCCCGTGCCCCCCATGACCCCACGCCTCCGAACCCCCACACCCCTTGCCCCCATACCTCCATATCTAATCGTGAGGGCCGCGCGCAAGGGGAAGGATGATGCACGCCCGTGCCATCGAGGGTGGCGAAGCGCGGCTTGCCTCCGACGATGGCCAGGGTCGAGGTTCTCTTCTGGGAGGAGGAACACATGCATGCAGGTCAGCTCTTTTGGCCGCCCCCCCCCCCTCTCGCCCTCGAGACATCGAGGAAGGAGGGGGGGAGGAGGCCAAAATAATTGAACCTGCATGGATTGTTTTTCTCCCCCCATCGTCGGGATCCCCTCGAAGATGCTGGTGCTGAAGAGCACCGTTGGGTTTGGCCACGCGAGGATGATTTTCCCGTGGAACCATTACGAGGACGGGTGCGCGGGGGCGCTCGAGGCGTTGAAGCCGCACATCAAGCCTTCGAAGGCTTGGCTTTTTCAACCGCCTCATCCCCCTCATCTTTCGGGCGTCCTTCACCCCTTTAGTGCCTACCCTTCGCAAAAGGCTTCTGGTAATGGGCAGGGGCATTGCCTCGAGACGGGGATCTATGCATGACCGACTGCCTGGGGGTCGAGTCTGGGGGGCGTCGGCAGTTCGTGGATGCCGCGCGCCCCCAGCGCTGACCCCCAGGCAGTGGAATGCATGAAAATAAGTCTCGGACAGTGGGCGCCAAGAAAGAGAGGGGTGTGGCGGTTGAGGGGCCGGTGGAGCGGGGCAAGAAGAGGGTGCGCGAGACGAACTGAGAGCGGTGTTTTTTGTCAAGCGCTATTCGCTCATAGCGCTAGAGGCGCGGACGCGAGGGCGCCTCCGTTCGCGCACGTTGGCCACGACGTGACTTTGGGGATAGCTGGGG